AAATCTAACCTAAAAAAAGTTAAGTTCAAAACTACTAGGTAAGAACTGTGTAACTAGCGCCATCTATGAGAGTTAGATAGGAAAACAAATTCATGCCATGTGTCAGATTCCAAGAAACATCCATACAAAATTCCATTACCATGTTGCCAGTATCTTCGACATAGTCGTAAAAAATGTGTAAAAAAATCATTTTTTCAACACCTTGTATCTTGGAAACGGATGCCGTTACGACATTTTCTTACTGAGCAAATCCAACTCATTTTGCAGTGTTCTACCTACCCTAGCAAGGGGGTCAGGTTTTTTTTAAACACCCTGTATATGAGGGCTTTGAGGAAGCATGAGCTTTCATTACATATGAATCATAAATCTATTTTCGGAACGAAAATCAAAGAGTACCTACTTGAAGAAACAGTTATATTTCAAGAATTACTGTAGGTATGTATAATGTTGCATGTTTTGGATTAGTAAAGAATGAAATCATTCAATCTTTCAGCTACAAAATCAACAACCAGAAGCCCATCAATCACAGATATTAATGAAGAAATCACACAATGATCCAGACTATGATATAAATTTCTTCATGGTATATGATATCTCACTTCCAGGCAACACTCATATCAATATGATGAAGAGTAAGGTTCTCCATATCTGGGAATTGTTTTCTTGTGGATTGAACTCTATTGTTGACAAAAACTTGATCAATATAATAACTGATTACCTACATAACTTTCAAGTTATTTGGTAGGTATACATAGGTGATGTAATTTTTGATCTAGAGTTAGCAACTTTTTGAAACAAGTGGAAAAACAAATATCTATCCTGCATGATGAAACACAAATACATATCACTGGAAATTGTAGGTACCTTCTGATAATGAGTAGGTATACAGAGTGATACGTAGAACTAGAATTAAGATGTTTGATGTTTCCATAGTTATGATATGTATTATGGTTGTGATCATGGCAATAATATACACACATGGATATTTTCAGTTCTTGTTTTTGAATGGGGTATTTATACTGCTAGTTTCCTGGAAATAACTGTGATATCAGGATGACATCTCAGAGATTTTATGTGATTTTTCAACAACTTCAGGTAAGGAGTGAATTCCAGATTTCTGTTATACCCAGAGGATTCACAAAACACTCGGAGACCTCAATTCTGTTTATTGAAGTTCCACTTTTTTAACCAGTTTGAAAATAAAGAGAGTGATGCAAAGCTGAGTGAAAATAAGATACGTTGCTTTCCAACTGGGATACCTATCAAAAAACCTATTTTCACTGAGATATATGCATTAACCTGTATATTTTTTGACAAATCTAGTTGAAAAATGGGACTTCAAAAAACAGAATACCATGAATATTGAATTAATTCAACCCCGTTAACCAACGGCTCTGAAAAACTCCTCTATCGGGGGAATAAAAATACTCAAGCGGCCAATTAATGGCAGTCTCTGAAAATTCTCAATCGGGCCGAAGATATGCCATGAATGCAGTACATTTGAGTACTTGCTTCTGCCCACCAGAAGCCCTGCAATGTAATAAGCGGCATACTGATGGCTCTAGAGAGGCGGTCGGCTGTCGGCCGCCGGGACACGGGCTAGCCGGCCCAATTTAGTTGTACAATAAAGGACCGCTATTACCGTTCGCCGGCATGTTCCATTGTACCTTTAGAGGGCCGCAAAAATCATGTTTGCTGGGCCTGCAAAGACGAGTTTTGCGAAAATAAGTCAAGGACAATGCGACAGAAGGGATATTTGTGGCCTTGAAGAGAAATTTCGGAAAGACCAAAGAATCAGTTAAGTTGTGCCGTCTATATAGTGAGTGATATCGTTTCCGTCATGCATGTTTCTCAATTCGAAAATTATTCACAGTTAGAAAGTCGATCGTTGATCATGTCTTGGTTGGAAAAAAATAGTTATAACCTTCATATCAAGATGTTGTGTCCAGTACAGGGTGCAATAAAACTGGTAATGGTATAATTATGCATGTCGGCGGCTGTTACCTTTAGTGTAGACCGACATTGTCGTGATTGACATGGTGCATGTACCGTGCATGTATGTATATGTATATGTATATGTATTTCTACTATGTCCTGCTCCAGCTGATGAAGACACAAGGTAGGTATTTCATGTCATTGACAATTTTTGGATGGTTCGCGATTTGAACTTGATTTATTCGGTGAACTACTTATTCGTGATTAACGGCCATATATAGACTTAGTAGGTAGTATTTAAGGAAGGGGGAATTTTTGTTGTTGATCTATCTCTATTTGTTATCTTTGCACAGATGTATGTTTTTTAATTGAACTAAGAAATCAGGTTTGCAAAATGAAACCACTCCTAAGATTACTGATATTACAATGGTGAACGAAAGTAACAGTATACCTAGTAATAAGTAATTATTGTTACTTATTGTTTATTCGAAGAACTAATATTTTTATCCCTTTCATCTTATATATATCTTATTCTATAATTTGAATTTTGTATCCATGGACTGAGTAAATTGGCTGCAGTGATTAAAGAAGGATTCATTAGTATTTTTCATGAGCTAAAAATGATATAGATACAGGGTGGATGATTACGACCTTTTAGATTCAAGTTTGTATTGTTTTTATTATGAGTACCTATATACGTTTCTATTTTGTATATGTGATTTTGAATAAATGTATCTATCGTTCTCTTTGATTCACGTTTTTTTAACCTCTTTCAGGGTGAGTCAGTATAGTGCGTTCTCCTTCAATATTAATCAAACCATGATATAAAAAGAAATTATTCTCATATCTATATGGGGTGTTCGAATTCCAAGATATCAGCTGATGATGTTTTTTTTAACGGGACACCCTAAATCATAACATTTCCAAATTCTCCCTGAATAGATGATTTCAACAATACATGACACTTGGGGTCTAGCGGAAACCATTACAGAGATATATAGGGTGTTCAAAATCGAGATTTTTCAACTTTCGAATCATTTTGTGTCGAAACTATCAATTATCGATCAAAACTGCTCACATGTCCCTATCTCAACTCTTATTGATTTACTATCTACTGACATTCAATTGTACCTACTTATAACGAATAATAGTGGTTCAAGATTCAGAATTCTGATCACCCTATATATCTGTACCAAATTAATGTCTGGTAGATAGTTAATCACAAGTTGAGTTGAAATGTTCCAAACATATTCCAAACGCATTGGAACATTCCTGAATAAGTTTTGAGTGAAATGTTTCAATTATTCACAGTCAAAGTGATTTTTGAATGTTTCATGCATCTATATACTATTCGAGTAATTCCGAAATGTTTTGGAATAGGTATATATCAATTATAGTTGTCTTGAAATGTTTCAGAAATGTTGCCAAAATTTTGAAATATCCCTGGGAAGTTCCCCAAAAATGTTTCCATTATTCAGAATGAGAGTCATATTGGAAATTGGAATGTTCCAATAATCATTTGAAATTCAGGTGATTCTGAAGTGTTCCTTGATTAAGCAATTCAAGTTATCTTGCACTATTGAAGTGATTCGCAATAGGAGTAGGTATAGGTATATTTGGAATGTTTCAAAATCTCAATACTTTGGGGTATCATGAAACGTTTCAAACATATTTCGAACGCATTGGAACATTCCTGATAGTAACTGATATGTTTCTATCATTGACAATCAAAGTAATTTTGAAATTTATAGGTGTAAATGTTTTATGTTTACTGGAAAATTGTATCAGCTCTGAGATGCTTTGTTAGTCTCATAACTCTCACTATATATATTCAATGGATCATTTCATTATACTGAATTCTGATGTTAGTAGGTACCTATATCAGATTTCGTGTTATCCATCAACACTCAGATGCAGACAAAAAAGCTCCGCTTCTCAGCGTGACAACACTCAATAAGTATGTGTTTTCACAACAGAAAAATATCCTAAAAATATTCGCATATCATACTATCATCAGTGAAAGCCGAAACGCAGCAGATGCAGTGTCGAAATAATCACCAAATGGTGTTGAATAACATGAAGCGCGATCAAATTAGCACTATAGGTACTCTAGTGAAAAGTTCTTGACTCTGTATATGTGAGAACCAACGAATGACACCCTATGATGGTGTTAAAAATATCAGTGTTGATTTTCATCAAAATACCTAATCAGGACCTCAGGGGACACCCATATATGGTGTTAGCTGGTGTGAACGGTGTTATTTCTTTTCTACTGTGTTTCTATATATATCTACTTAAATATACTTATTGTGTTTTCGATTTTATGTAACGTATACCTATATAGGTAAGTATTAGAACCATGAAAAGTTTGAATCTCGCGCAGACATATTAATTGATACGGTATTCAACTATACCTATATAGATATGAGTGAGACATAAAATTTATCGGTCATTCTCTGTCATCTGGAGAGATCATATTGATAGATAAAGATAATTAATTCCCCCCTATGCAATTCTGAAATTGCATTAAGAACTCAAAAGCATAGTTATATCACAGAGGAACCAATGAAAGCATTATACCTAGGTGTATCTATATTAGTGAGCTATGCAATTAAACTCATAAATGACATTCAACCACACCACGCCTCTTTCAATGCGTGCGCATCAGGAGGCGTAACAACGTCAATAATTTGAAAAATAAATATATAAGAATGTCCCTAGACCTCTTGAACAGTAGGAAACTACCAACGAATAGCCAGAACCAGTTTGTCTCAAAGTCTACTATGCCATAAGTGTAATTTCTGGACGTTAATTGCAGTAAACGAGTTCTTGAACCAAGCGTTGAGGAGGTGCAAATAAGAGGCGGCAACGACAGCCTTAATACCATTTGTATTGTGCGCCTGCACCAATAGCAACTGCCTTTCTCTTCGCTGGGATCGCCCAGTGAACACCAATCCTTACTCCGAGATACCCCACTAAAACTTAAACAACTCAAATTCTACCCCCACCCTACAGAACGGTGGACGTCCAACGTTTATTTCACTTATTAACGGAAGAGATTTGTTGGCGGTAGCACGTAACACGTTTCGGTATTAATCGGTCAACACCTCATCAGCAGAGGATCATCGGCTAATTGAACTAAATTTTCACAACAAGTATTTCTCATTAGTCAGTATATATGGATTCAAATAAATGATCTACGAAAAGTGTGTGTAATACCTAAGTGTCAAAAGTATCCGACGGGAAGAACTATACTATCGAGCTAGTGATGAATACTTTCAGTGCATATTAGTGATAATGAAGTTGAACAATAAGTGGAGTATGTTACTTCTGGAGAGCTTTTCATGTTAGTGCAACGGAGCTCTACTCTAACTTTGTCCACAATCCCAATCATGATGCCTATGGCACCGACACCAATAATGGCAGTGCCTTCCAAACCCAAAATCGGATTCTCTATTGATTCTATCGTCGGTGGTGCCAACCAGGGAAGCCCCCAACACTCGCCGGTACAGTATTCTGAAAGTTCTGCGCCTTTGTCGCCAAGCAGTGATATAGATAATAGGCTAAATGGTTCTCCGAAGCACTTCTCCTCCTCACCTCATCGGTCGCCTGACAGTTCACCGAAACCACCTATCATGGTGCCCGGAATCCCTGCTCACACATTGGTCAGACCAAACCCGACTTACGATCCGAACTTGGTTCCAAAAAACGGGTTTTTGCAGCCCGAGATGATACACAACCACGGGCAGCATCCTTTTGCTCTCGCAGCGCACTTTCAAGGCGCAGCGCTTGCTGCTGCATTAAGTTCCGGGCAACACGGGTTTCCTGGACAACCTTCACCTATTGCCCAGCACGCGCAGCCTAGAGACAGTTATCCCTTGTATCCCTGGTTATTATCAAGGCACGGAAGGATTTTTCCACATAGGTTTCCTGGAGGTGAGTCTTTAGCTGATCATACCTTATTTTACCATACACCGTATAGGTACTCATTATTGTGCTTATCAAATCTATATAAGCAGCATCACGATGATAACACCAATTGTTCAGGTACCTAGTCTACAAACGTAATACATAGTCAAAAATCTGCAGAAGCATAATGTTTTTCTGATGAGTTCAATATTGAGAACACCTTTCTTCTATGAAGGAATTAGAGTAACGATAAGGATGTCTCAAAATCGAACTCAAAATGAGCGTAGGAACTTGTGATTGTGGCTTCGTTTAGGTAAGTAGATTCTCATCAGAGATACATATATTTATATATATATTTTGAATGATTGTCCGCCGAGTTGTCCGCCTTCAATAAAATCACAGACTTACCTAGATATATCAGTGTTGTGACATCAGACATCAGACATGAATAAGATGTGCTCCGGTGAGATCACAGCGATGACTATGATGTCTCTGTATTGGTCTTTCCATAAAGCATGCCATATTCGATTTTGGAAAATCTGATGATCTGCTTTGGCTCCATCCCTATAAGCATCCATAAATTTTTACTGGTTCCACCAGTATTTGAATCAGATTCGAATTCAACACCATGATATTTAGGATATATTCTTGAAGTTTCAGATGTTGAAATCGATAAAATCGGTGGATATAAACCACTAAACACATTGAGTGGCATTCAAAACAGAGAAATGAAAATAGTACCTAAGAATGTAAACTTCATTCACACTAAAAATTGTTCATATATAGGTATCGAATCACTATTCTAAGTCGACAAGAACCTATGGTACCTCGCACTAAGAATCCTAATTGGGTATATCTCAACTGCGAAAATAATTAGCTTCATTAGGAAAATACACCAGTCTGGAAATGACTTTCAATTCATTGTGAAAAGTACTTTCTCTCGAAGTGAGGAATCGCAGCTGATGTATTCACTATTCCTTATTGTAAATGCAACTAATGAATTCCGCAGGAATCTATTTGGATGAAGACTGAAAATTCCTATCAACAGTTCTTGAAATATATTCAGAACTATTTACTATCATCTCATGTAAGGTTTATCCTAGAAACTGATGAAGTGTATTATACAACCAATACTTGTTGTTGTTTATTTTCACGATGGTTTGACAAAACTCTACTTTTGCCCTCAGTTATGAACTGAATGTATTCGCTGTATGTTGTATCACGGATTTCGAATCCTTTATTTCCCATGCACATTAATAAAATTTGATAGCGTTTCGTTATTGTTAGTGCCGGTGAAGTGAAGTGTTTATATGTTAATTCTGCTGTTATTTCACAGTGATAAAATAGCATATCGTTACCTATTGTAAGTGTCAGCGGAGATGAAATGTCTCTGTTATTCCGAGTGTTATTCAGTCATACAGTCAATCATAAATCATTTGGGTCGAAGACAATTTCCGAAGAAAATTCAGATACCTATAATATATACAACTCATTCAGCGAACATCCTGGTGAACATTGTGGCATTGAAAAACATATTTTTAGGAGAAAATAATATCTATTCGAAATCATCGCATATTGATAATGAAGGACAGGAGAGACTGTTCCAATAATACTTCACCAAGATTCGACATCGTACAGAATATAGTAGATATATTTTTGCCTGATGGCTGACTGACAAAAACATCCCATGCAAAGTCTATAAAGCAAGGTTATTTATCATCCGATTCTGATAAGAATAAGACCAACATGAAGTTCTCAAATACTACGTGAAAGCAATAATGATTTTTCTCAAATTTCAGCTTTCAGGACAGCAGATATATATATTTTTTCAAAATTTGTTCCTGATGATCGTGATCTCATTCAAACTGAGTAATATATAAGATGTTTGTTTTCGCACATACTTATTGAGGAAAAATTGAAAATACTCCAGCGACAATTAATTGACTTTTTTCATGAAATTTTCAATTGGACCATCAAATGCTCGATCAAATGTGACTGTGAATGAAACTGAATTAATTTTGTATCTGTCCGGTACCTATCTGTAACGTGCGTGTGCTAATCACTCTTCATTTTCAATGCCGTGAAAAATTCAAAGTTAAAATAATGCTCAATAAGTGAAATGCTTCAGGTAACTACACAAATGATTTTGTTCGAAGTTCAAACTGTCCAGCAATTTAATGAATCGAAGTCAACTCTGTGTTCAGCAAGACGGTGGTCAATATGAGTAATAGGTATTTATAGTGTCCCCGCTGGTATATATATCTTGAAGTATTTTCCCTGCGTTAGTTTTATCAAAGTATTATAGGTACTCTTACATTGCATTTTTTTCATGACACTGAAATTGATTTATGCATAATATATCGAACAAATGGTATACTGCGAGAGTTATTCAAACATTTACACATTCTATAACTCATCGAACATTTAAAAAAAATTTCATATCAGCAGAGGTTTTCTTTATTTTTCTCAACTAATTATGGGCGATAGCCAGAGAAAAGTATATTCATCAAAAACAACTCAAAAAAATATGTGTTAACCATTATTTGAACTCAAAAATTGACAGTCGCTGACATCAGAGCTTGAATAGAACTAAATATTATCAGTGCCTTTTTATAAAGTTAATATTTGAGGGATTATTTTATTTCGTTTTTTGTTCATCAAAATCGTGTGATGATTCGATGTACGTATAATAACGGCGCTGTGGCTTGTTTTTTTGTCAGTCAGTCTGTGTTTCAGGATTATGATTGAAATATTTCAGGTAGAGTCCTATGATAAGTATAATATTGTTTCTATGAATAGTGGAATATTATATGAACACGATATTCATCATAGTATAATATACCACTCCAGATAATGGAGTTGTGGTTTCATATTATCACTTTCCTAAAAAGTAAATCCGACTACAATGCACAAGTACGTTTCAGTACATTGAAGAGGAATGTCCACTATATAGCATATAGTGATCGAGCGCAATATTGAATGCAATGAAGAAGTGCTCTTAAATCTTTGGTTAAATTCACTATTCCTCATATAGTGAATATATGAATATGATTGAACGGTATCCACCCTGTTCGTGATGAAGTTGGCTATTATATGATGTAGCCAGTATATTACATCATCTTATTTGAACTCAAAAGTGAAGATTACTGATGGGAAGAATGCTCGGAAGAATGTCTGTCCATATATCACCTGTTTTCCCAGTGAACTTCACTAGTTCTCTAGTATTCTTTACAGCTTTTTTTCTTCGCGTGTTTCAATCCATAGAACAATAATAATAAACAAACCTCAAAATATTTGTGGAAAAGAAATAGAAAATACTCATAAGAAAATCAAAACCGTTTTGTCTTATAGTATCCTACCTCGTGTCCTACAAATATACACAGAGGGTTTTCCCAGTTATCATAAGTGATGATCGCAGCATGTTTTCTTTTTCATAAATCCTGCATTCATTTTAATATGTACATGGGCATTTTACATCCAGGTTCTACATCTCCGAAATGATGGATATAGAAAAGTGATAATTTAATTCCATAAGAGGACATTGTTTTGTTTTTTATGATTTCTCCAACCATTTTTCCATCTTGATTCTACTCCTGGACTCGGGTATTACGCAGGTATAGCTATAGATGTCATTGTGGTGACATTAGTTGTAGCCTTGAAAATGCAAGGTCTTCTGACCGAAACTACAATCGTGCGGCTGGCTTCTGTTCTTTGACTCCGTCAATTTGTTTTTTCGTCTTCTACGAAGATTTGCCTATCTTTTGCACTTCTTTACCATACTGATGAAAGCCAAGAGCCTGAAACAAGCCAACAAATAGCGCTGCGACATAATAGCGCCGACTGCAATAGCGCGTCTAAAAAGGCTCGTGCTTAAGCTAGTGATAATGATGGCGATGGCGCACTGATATTGATAACACATGTTATGAAAAAGTATAGAAGTAGTGAAAACGGGTGAAAAGAAAAAACATCCTTGCCAAATTCTACCTTCATTCGAATCCATATCTTGATAAAATAAACATTATTGAGCAGTAATACATCAATTACAAGGATGAATCGTATGTACATGATACAACAAACCTGGAACGCTATACCAAATCTGATGTACCTATGAGTGCGCTGTGTTATTGGGCCCATCAAATTTCGATCCACCTACATTTCGATTCTACCACACTTCGATAGACCCACAATAGCTGATGACGATAGCTATATACCATTGGCCTTAATAGCTGTCTGAATTCCGAAGACGAAATTGAAAGAAGAAAGAAACATATCCTTTCCTAAGACGGTCTGAATGAAACCAATTCTCAGAAACGATGACTTTCAACATCAATTTGATTTGCTAATAAGGCATCGTTTGTGGGTGTCCGGAGACTGTGGCAGGATCAAAATGTGGGCCTGAAGAAGGGTGGATGAATCAAAATTTGGGTTAATCGAAATTCGGGCCTCACAAGATGTTCCAATCTGTATTGAGCAACCAATACCAGTAGCTGAAACTACACACGGTTAACATTCTTGAGTAGATTTCATCTCCAAGTCCACACTACTTTATGCCAATCCAGGTCCACACCGGATTGTGGAGGGCTCGATGTACCCAACTACTTCATAGCTTTTTCTGAATCACAGCACTGACACGAAGTATCTCAAAAGTATGAAAAATTTTTGGAAAATCTTGTACCTACACAATTTTGACTGAAATTCAATATTTGAGTACCTATATATGATGACACTAATTGGGCATTTCTAGTTTGCCCGGAAAATATCAATCAATAGGATTTTCCACTGTATATATCCTGCAGTACATTTAAATTAATATTTTAAAATGGCTATGGTCCTTTTTCATTTTGTCGAATAGCTTGACACGCGAATTATTATGGTGGCATTGAAGAGTCTTTTGAAAACAAAGACTGAAGCAATATTTCTCCGTACATCTCCAGAAAGTGGATGTACCTTATCTTTCCTTCACCTATATCCTTCATGGATCAAAATAGCATCACCTTTTTCTGACCAAGAAACGTGACAATTCATTT